AAAGTCCCACATCTCCCTAGAACGATCCGAAAGGCCACCCACACGCTCATCGGGATGCAGAAAGATGTTGAAATCGCCACTAACCATCCATGGCAATCCCTCCATACTCTCGACAATCTCACGCAGGGTGTCCCAGAGATCATATCTCCCGACCCTATTACACTTGGCATAATCCAAGGTGTGAAATATGGGCTCGGGGAGGTGGGCCACAGAAAGCTCGATATGAAGCACCTGGTAGGTATCCCGGAGGACCCGACAGGTGTAATCACGCGAGTGGAAGAACCAAATCTTATGCGAAGTGTTACCCACGCTCGAGTGGAAGCCAAGGCGCCGTGAGTAATAGTCAAAATCAGAGGTGCGAATCATCGGCTATATAAAGCCAACGAAGTCCAATCTATGATCACGTATGAGAGAGTGAAGATAAGCGAGAGTGGCCCTATTAGCCAGGCCCCGACCATTCCAAGTAATAGATATATCAACAATCGTGAGAGCCACCGGACGTTGTCCGACTGTGGCGATGCTGGGTCGAGACACCTGAAGAAGGGGGGAGGTGGCGAAAGGATCGAAGGGCAGGGGAGACTGTCTGTCGTGTCACGCGCAATGTGGGTCTGGTCTTCGAGGGGGGACGCCCTCAGTAAGTGCTCGTAGTCTGCAAGTCATCAGGTTGAGCAATCGGACCCAAAGCGGCACTAGGGACCTGCTCCATCTCCGGGGCCGTCTCCTGTCTGTCAAAGTGGACGAATGCGCTAGAGGTGAAACTCTCACACGAGATGTCATGCTGAGCGCGGTTAAGACCGCATGTCTCTCCGGGATGGGAGGGAGAAAGGCTCCATTCAGCGGAGCACTCGGGTACTCACCGACAGAGTGAGGCTGGTGAATAGTTATATGCTCAGCCAAGCTCCCAATCTTCGCAGAGGAAAGATGTGTCGACTCTTCTCCTTTTGGGGGGAGCGGTGACGGGAGCTGTCCTCATCTCCAGGGAGCAGTCCTGGCTAGATGAATGGACAGACAAAAGAACAGCATCTCGAGTGCTGTCATCAGCTAAGTGAATGGATGCACCACTGGTCGAGGCGTCCGGCTGCTCTAGATCCTCAGCAAGGAGATCATCATCGTCTAAGGAAGATCTAAGGACCTATGGGGATCACTGGTAGAGGGCTCAGTCTCATCCTCTGCCTCAGGGGAGAGGACAACAAAGAAAGAGTGATTGGCCTTAAAGGTCGACTGAAGGGTGTCTCTGGGAATTAAGCCCGAGGTCTTGGCCTTGGACCCAACAGAAGCCAACTGCTTAGGCTGGTTAGGATGAACATCCTTTCCAGTTTGGGCAGTGGAGACCATCACAGCCTTGCCCTCTAGGTTAGCTGTATGATTGTGCTAGGTTAGTTGTCTGATGGTGCTAGGTTAGTAGTTGCTAGGTT